TTCTGGTACCGATAGCACCCTAAAAGGTATTTACTGGGAAGGTGATCTACCTCCATTGTGAAGAGGAGATTGAGACTCAGAGTAGATTGTGAACATTACCCAAGGTCATGCAGCCCACAATGCTCCACTCCAAATGGTAGGTGTCTCACCATGAGAGCATCTACATGCTTTGCAGACAATTTGTAGCACTTTCCAGATAAGAACAATACTTCAAGTTCTAGTCTTGAAGGAGTTTCTGAAGGGCATATATCTGGTCCATAGTATGTCAGGGACATGAACTCACCATTGCCTGACATGGAAGTCCAAGCACTTTGCCTATGCTATTCTATTTATGATTACAGCCTTCATTGCCTCAAAGATTCACAGAGGGTGCAACTACATTAGAACCCAAATTTATAATCAGTAATGAGCAATTTAGGATTACTGGTAGCAGAACTCTGTGGTCTAACCTTTTGAAATCCATAGAACCAGCAAAGAAGCAGGTGGGATTTTGGTGGGTTTTGTTTATTTTTATTTTTTGGTTGTGAGCCTAGCCTTTAATGTCTGAGCCATCTTTATAGACTGTGCTTCTATTTTCATGCTGATATTTAACACAACATTTAAGTAAAATGTAAATGTAAAAATATTTTAAGACTTTCATTAGTATGTTGATATTTGGAGAACATTATAGTAAATGAAATAACTCAGCTCCAGACAAACATCACATGATATCAATTATGTATAGAAACAATAACAACAGCAACAAACACAAAGAAAAAAATCACTGAGCCCATAAAAATAGAGAATGGAAAATGGTTACCTAAGGTGGGAAAAGTGGGAGCCAAGGAATGGGGAGTTGTTGGTCAAAAGGTACAAAGATTTAGTTAGACTGAGGAATGCTTTGAGATTAGAAGTTCTCTTACCTGAACAAGGAGGACCTAACGGGCCACCAGACTGATAGCTGGGAAGCCAGCATGGGACTGACTCAGGCCTCCCTGAGTGTGGGTCTCAGCCAGAAGGACTGAGCAGTCTAAGGGACTTCAGACAGTGGAGCCAGGATGTATCCCTGGTGCACAAAAGGACCTTGCTAACACATCCCCCATGGAGGGATAACTGCCTTGGCCTAGAGACAGGAGAGAAGCCCTAGTCCCTACTTCATATGACCTGACAGATCTACATGACCCCAACTGGATGGCATTCCCCTACATATGGAATTGGGGTGGGGGATGGGAGGGGAGGGTGGTCAGGGTGCATGTGAGAGGGCAGAGAGAGTAAAAGGAAAGGAAGGAGGGAAGGAGGGAGGGAGGGAGGGAAAGGGAACTGGGATCGATATATAAAATAATAAATTAAATTTAAAAATGCTTTGACTCCAAAATTTAAGTTGAAGGACAAGTTACTGGGGAAAAGGATTTCTATTTTTGTTTCCACAGAAAATGAATAGCTGTGGATTCCTTCTAGACTAATGTGGTTTGATCAAGCCAGACCACCTGAAACAGAGTACCAGGTGATCCTACATTCAAAACAGCTGGACAAAGCAGCCTTACAGACTACATCCAGGATTTCTGCATCTTCTTAGAATCCCCCATGACAGCACCCCTTACCAGCAGGACATAGTTTGGAAAGAACGATACCCAAATTCCCAAATATTGTCTATAAATGTTTGTTTTCATTTAAATGGACTTGGTTATATAAAATAAATAAATAAAAAAGAAGTTCTCTAATAAAAATAATGTGTTGTAAATTTCAAAAGGGAGAAAAAAGGAAGTTTCAAATGTCTCAACACAAATATGTGAGGCTTGCTTGATTTAATCATTGCACATTTAATACATATATCAAAACATCACATTGCACCCCATAAATGTATACAATAATGATTTATCAATTAAAAATATGAATAAAACCCAGCATTCTGCAGTTGATTAAACATATATGCAAATAGCAAACACCAAATGCGCACCATGTTAGAATTTATTAGAATACAAACTAGTCCAAACACAATATATTATCTAGTTAAGAAAATATGAGCATTTCCTATTTTTCGGTGGTAGCCTCCTGTTCCACTTTTGAGCAGTCATAGTCACTATTTAGAGTCCTTAATGCACTTTCAAAGGGCTCCCCATGTTGGACAAGTAGGCACCAGCTGTGCAAAATAACTCTTTCTATTGCAAGGTATTTGGAACATGGACGTTCATGCCTTCACATGGCTGTCTTTTGTGATTTGCTGTAACCCTCATTTCCTTTCCCAGGCTTCCAGTTGCTAAGAAGAAGACTTGGCATATATGTGTATGGCACTGCCACCATGTCCAAGGACACAGATCATACAGCAACGGAGGTGATGGTGAACAGTCTTTGAATGAAGCACCACAAAAACCCAGGCTAAGGTGTTTGCCCTTAGCAGCAGCTGTTTATGTGACAGGCTTCAATATTCAAGGCTTCATATCCAAACCCAGCCTGAATGAAAAGGATTACAATTTTTAAAGTTAAAAAACCTCGTCATTGTCCATTACTATTACTATTATTGTCAATAACAAAAGAATGCTCATTCTGTAATCTTAAATAATCTTTTGGATTAGGATATATATATATATATATATATACATATATATACATATATATATATGTATATAAAATTTATTTATATCAGCCTAACCCAAAACAGAAGATGCAGCAACACTCAGGAGTGCTTTCATGGATTAGCTTAAAGGATTATTTAGAGAATAGAAAACATAGTCAGAAAAGAGAGATGCTGCCATACTACCTGGTAGAATCTCCACTGTTAAGAAAAGTAATAAATGAGTGTAAGGGGAAAGCATTCCCAGGCTACACCCAGGTTTTAAATAATTATTTTAGTTACAATTAAAACACAGAACAGACAGCGTTGAGAGTCAGACTCACTCTCCATCCATTGTACATACTCAAAAAAGAATTGCTTAGCCTTTGTAGATATTGCACTTTGAATTGCTTATGTATAGCTCAAACTACCATTTTCAGAGATATACTATTTAAAAAAAATAAACACACATATAATATATATTCAGCATAGATAGCCTTTGGTCAATGTTTACTTATAGAGGGTCAGTAGAATTGTGGCATGTGCACAGCTAATGAACATACATTCAGTTGTACATGCTTTGGGGGAAAAGAAAAAACTGCAATTCAAGAGATGCTGGGGCTTTTGCTCACATTTCACTCATTGAGTGTATGCTCTGGGGAGCAAGTGAGATGGAGGCTCTGCTTATCCCTCATATGAATACTTTCTGCAAACTTTTCAGTGGTAGTGACTTGATGTATCTGGGTCCTGATGTTCTCAGACACATCACAATAATACAACACAGTCCCTAAACATCAACTAATTCTACTGTCTTCAACCAAAGTACCAGCAACCTGTCGCAATACTGGAGAAGAATGTAGCTTCTTGGGTGTTCAAAAGTCCTCTTTCCTGAAGGACTATGCACAGGAATCAAAGCCTCATAGGTTATTCTCTTTTGCATTGACTTTAGAATCTAACCTTTGGGTCTGGTGAGACTCTCCTATAAGTCATTTAACAGGGATAAGAATGAATGCCCTCAGGAACAATACAATTCCAAAGTACACTGGGTTAGTACTGAAGGGCCTTGGTCTAAGTTTAGCACATGTGTTGCCCCAGGGCCCTTTCCATCCCATTCATTGGCTGCAGAAACCACCATGATGACTGAGATATGCCTTCCAGTTTAGGGAGAAAATGCAATAAAGATCAAGCCTATGGAACCAAGTGTTTCAGGTGACTATGTTTAGTTTTATCACCAAAACTACCATGCAGTTTCAAAAACCATTTTGGAAAATTTCTTCCAAACCAGGGATGGGTACAAATACTGGGAATCTGTAAAAGAGGCACAAATAAAATGCAAAATAATAGGGACTCTAGCATGGATATCCCCTTTAAAGCACACCACAGGCCCAGTTTAATATAGTCATGTCTATATGTGTGCCTTCTGTGTCTGCACATACAGTGGCAGTTCTCAGGGAAGCCTCTCTCTATTGCATCCTAGATTTGTTCTTACATTGAACAGGCAAGGGGAGAATAATAAATAAATTTTATCACCTTTGAAGCATCTGAGTCCAACATCTTTACTGATAACAGTCACCACCTAACTGAGTCACTTACATCAAAGGACAGACTGGTGGTTGGCATAACTACCACTCCATGGCAGTTGTATCTTACTTAGGGCTGGGCTATGGTGGGAGCTAGGCATCCCTTCTCACCAGAAGAGCTGCAGCTTCTGACACCCTAACTATTATTTTCATTTAAGAGGTTACTTCATGGAAAGCATTTGGTGAGGGCTTGAGCAAGCAAGGACACAGGGCTAACAACTTGACACATAGAAGGTGTTTCCAGGAAGTGTGTTCATTGCTACAGTAAAAAAGTGATTTTGAATGCAAGGATCATGTACAGCTCACACATGGGTAAATTGACACAGTAGCAAGAGTGGGCTTGATTTTTTGTTTTTCTGGGCTCAAGAATTCCTCCTTTCCCCTGCACACCCAGCAGGGTCTTTGTTTGGAGGAGACATAAAATCTATACATTATGGCAAATAGAAAACTACACCTTAGACCCCATGTCTAAGGGACATAGTAGTCATGTTTGTTTGGAGCCTCTCCGTAGACATTCCAGTAACAGTCTGGATGGTATTTGACACTTCTCTTTCCCCATGTTGTCATTCTGTAGCCAGAGTTTCCAGGACCACTTGGAAACGACAGTCCTGTCTAAGAAAAAGGATTTCTTGGGGAATAAATCCCAAACCAGTCAGCCATGTTAGCTGCTGGAAATGGTGCAGGGAAGTGATGAATGACCTCAACTATTAGAAGAAGAATGTAGCTCAGCTACACACTGTAGTGGCCTAGTGGACACATACTTGAGTGGTTGTTTCCTAGTGGCTGTAGATGGTACCAGCACTAACTACTTCTCTACTGTGGTCTTTATTGGACACAGTATGATGGCATTTATAACCCACTGGTATCCTTAAGCCAGCGAGAACTGGCTGTCAGTGTAATTTTGTGAAAAGGAGTGCATAAAGGAAAACAAGATTCATTCTTTCCTTTCTTCTCTTTCTTCTCTTCTCATCTGCCAGTCTGAGAGTTGCTCAGTCTGTGGAGAGAGGAAATCAGGTTAGCACTCTTAAAGGAGAGCTGTTCAGCCAGAGCATGGGACACCCTCTCATCTGGAAACAAATTACACAGAGGCACAAGTGCCAGCCCTATGGGGTCACGGGGATACTTTTATAGGCTTTCCATGTTTGTCATACTGGTATACCAGCATCTTGATGCAGTGTGAGTTTGCCGGTGAGATCCAGGGACTACTTGTTATGGAAAAGTTATGGTTGGTGTAGAACTGTACAGGCTGCTTCTGACACTTGAACAAGGCCTTGAGTGTAGCAGCTGCCATGGTTCGGAACCGCTTGCTGATGAAGCAGTAGAGGAAGAAGTTGATGGCTGTGTTCAGAAGGGCCAGCATGTTGGCGACATCTAGCATGATGTGGACCAGCCAAGGGTTCTGGATGGGCGATCCATAGAGGTGGTAGAGGATCATGATGATGCGGGGGGCCCAGAGAGTGGCGAAGATGGAGGTGATGGTGAACAAGATGGCAGTGGTCTTCCCTGTGGAATAGCCACGGAGGCGGAAATTGCTCTTCCTCCTTAGCTTGTAGACAATGATGGAGTTCAAGATGAAAAAGATGGAGCAGGGCACCAGGTACACAGTGAAGCAGTGGATCCAGACAAGGACATGATGCATGGAGGTGCTGGTGTAGTCTTCAGTCCAGATATTAGGCCACCAGTAGTAGGGAATGCTGGTCAGGAAGCAGGTGATGTAAACACTCACAATGACTTTTCGGGTCCTGGCTGGGTAGGAAACTGTGTGGTATTTGAGTGGGTGACAGACAGCTATATACCTGTCAACAGTCAAGGGGACCGTAATCCAAATGGAGGTGTGGATGGAAGAGAACTCCAGCACTTCTATAATCTTGTCAGGGATTGGAGGCATCTGCACGCTCAAAATGAAATCTTCTAACAGGAAATCCACAAAAACAATGAAGAAGAGGACCAGGATGTCGGCAGCAGCAAGTGCTAGGAGATAGTTATAGGAAGACTTCTGTCTCCTGGCCACTAGTTGAGAAAGGATGATGACTGTCAAGATATTTGCTGTGGAGATAAGAGAATCAAGGTTATATCCAAGGCAAAGATGACTGTTGTCTATTAGTGAGAGCCTGTTGTGAGGTTTCTGGAGTACTCCAATACATGTCAAAAGATCAAATGGGTGTTTCTGTGGGACACTCAGCACCACAAATCACACCTCAAATGAACAGTAGGATACAATTTGAATATATAGCCACGTTGTCCTTTATTTGTGCCCCATGCAACTGGGAGAAATGATGCTGATAATATCTAACTATAGATGTGAAACTGGACCCCTGAATGCTCAGGAGAGTCAGTGTTGTGTCCCTGAACCAAGTTCTCCATTCTAAATATCTGTCTGACTGTGTGGAAATATGGGTATGATGCTTAATGCTGACCATCAGCTTGAGCTGTTTACCTTCCTTGCTATGGTGTTGGGGATAGAACCCAGGGTTTTTATATATTAAAAATGTTCTACCACTTGGCTATATCTTCAGCAGCATGATTTCTTAAGGACATTTATAGAATTTATATTCTAGGATCTCATTTTAAGTGCATTCAAGGGATGACCTGCACATTAATTTTAAATAAATTTTTGGAGCAAGATATCAACATACATTGTACACACTTAAAAACAACCATAAAGAAATAGAACTTTCTCTTCTACTTCTGTTCTCTATCTCATTTCTTTTCCCTTAAGATAATCATAGCCAATAAACAATTGATATGTATATACATTCATTTATCACACACATATATGATTTTTGTATAAGTAATAGAAAAATATTCTTGTTTCAGGATTAGATGGGTATTTAAAAACACACACACACACACACACACACACACACACACACACACAAAATCTCTGATCAGTTTAATAAACATGAATAAGATGCATTTAGAAAGGCATTAGGGAATAATTCAAAAGAAATAACCCAGTGGACGATACTGAAAGTTATTTAGATAAAACTGATTCTCATTCATTTTTATAATCAACTCTGGACATTGTAAATCTTGCTTTGCAAGTGAGGGTCTCAGAGAGTTTATTTAACCTTTGAGGTCTAGAAACAGAGGCAGAATCTGATCTCTCTCTCTCTTTCCCTCATCTCCCCTCCTCCTACCTTCCTCCCTTCCTATCCCTCCCCTACCTGTTCTTTCTCTTCCTCCCACTTCTTATTTCTCAGTGGCCAGTTAAAACATTACCTGAGACTGATACAGTGCTGCATACCTATAATCTTAGCAAGTGGGAGGATAAAGCAAGAGGACTGGTAAGAGCTCAGGACCAGCCAGCACTGCACAGCACGACCCGGCACCCAAACACAAGGCAAACCATTCAGTAGTTCGCATATAACCCTCTTACAACAAGTACACATACAGAGCCTCATACACTTGTCCTAAAATGAAAGGAATTTGAACATTTTCTTATATTTGGTTCATTTCTTTACAAGAGAGCAATGACACTGTAGGCAAAGGCAAAGCTTGTCTCGAAACAGTTCCAAGTCTCTCTCTCTCTCTCTCTCTCTCTCTCTCTCTCTCTCTCTCTCTCTCTCTCTCTCTCTCTCTCTCTCTCTCAGAAAAGAAGTCTGTGCCCAGGGTGATGTTTGCCTGCTGTTCCTCTTCCACACTGTCATTATTCTAGTTCACCCCATTCTCTTCTTTTGGTATTCAGCAGTACATTTTTGAGAACTAGCTATGTCAATACTTAGACTTCTAATTTATTTATGTGGTGTCTTGAAAGAAAATGGCACCCAAAAGGAATGGCACTATCAGGAGGTGTGTTTTGTTGGTGTAGGTGTGGCCTTGTTGGAAGAAGTGTGTCACTGTAGGGAAGGGCTTTGAGGTCTTTTTTGCCCACACTTTGCTCAATGTGACACTCAGTCCATTTCCTGTTGCCTTCTGATCAAGACATAGGTAGACCCATGCTCACTGTTGTGATAATAATGAACTGAATCTCTGAACTGTAAATTGCCACCTCAATTAAGTTTTCCTTTGTAACAGATGCCATGGTCATGGTGTCTCTCCACAGAAACAGAAACCTTAATTAAGACATACAATTTAGGTATGTAATACATATAGTTTTGTATTTAATATGCCCCCCACAGCACTTTTGAATATATTCCAGGATTTTTTTCCATTAGGAGTGTGCTAGTTCATGTCTCAGTATGACTCTCATTGAGAAGCATGTCCATGTAAGAGTTTTCTAAGGAGCATTCACAGAAGTGCATTTATGTTTTAGAATGTGAAGTTGTGGTTATTCTTCTGCTAGCAGTGATCAGACACCTGGCAAGATGCAACTTGTCTAGGAATGGTTGATTTTAGCTCACAGTTTAAGGCACAGCAGTGACAGTATGAGGCGGCAGATCACACTGTGTCTATAGTCAGGAAGCAGAGAGACTATAGATGTAAGGTCTGGCTATCAGGCATTGAGACCTGCCCCAAGGGACTCACTTCCTGGAGCAAGGCTTTATCTTCTAGAGATTCCAGAGCTTTCCACGTTGTGGACCAGCTGGGGATGAAGTGTTTAAACACATGAGCCTACAGTGTGCATCTTCTATATTAGATATTGAGAACTGATATTAAAGTGGTTTTACTAATTTACATCCCCAACAGCTGAGTGTTCCAAGTCCAGATCAGCTGTTTCATGTCGTCTCAGTAGCTTGTAGGGCCAACTGTTATCCTGTTTAAGTCTGTGTCATTCTCGGTCTTATCTGAAGCACTCAGAAATAACAGGGTTCTGATTATATTAGCCAGGCTTCAAGCTGAACCAATATTCATGCTGTAGAATATCATTTAGTAATATTTATCTCAATGGGGACCCCTTCACTGTACCTGATAGACCCCCACTTCAGAAAATATCACATGATATAGACATGATAGCCCAAAAGTTTGTGCACCTAGTAGTGTTTAAGAACCCATGAGTTGTGTGCAGGGACGAGATGGTAAATGAAACAGATGTTGTCTATTTTTTTCTTTAATCTCTCATGGAACTTACAGGGAGAGAAAACATTCACCAAAGAACTATAGAAGAAACTGCATAAATTCAGTTTATGGTGTATGATAGGCAGCAGAGACCAGAAAACACATTTCTGAGGGTATGATGTTCAATCTGAGATCAAGAGACAAACAAGGATGTAAGTGTTATAGAATACAATCTTGCTTATGCTGTGAATATTTGCTTAAAATGATGCAAAGATGCATTGTATTCTTTTATTTTGCATTTGTTTAACTCTGTGAAACTGTGTTACTTTGCCTGTCTAAGACATCTAATTGGTCTAATAAAGAGCTGAATGACCAATAGGGAGGCAGGAGAAGGATAGGTGGAGATGGCAGGAAGAGAGAATAAATAGAAGGAGAAGTCTGGGAGAAAAGATCAAGGAGCAAGAAAAGGAGGAGGTCATCAGGGGCCAGCCACCCAGCTATATAACAAGTCACAAAGAAAGAAGTAAAGGAAAGTATACAGAAATAGAGAAAGATAAAAACCCACAGGCAGAAAGTGGATGGGATAATTTAAGTTAAGAAAAGCTGAATAGAAATAACACAAGCTAAGGCCAGGTATTTATAAGGCAGAATAAAACTCTGTATGTGGTTTATTTTGGAGCTGGGGGGCCAGACCCCCAAAAGAGCTAAGAGTAAAAGATCCAAAGAGTAACAAACAACCAACAATAGGTAAACAGGGAAAACATGTGGGAGGAGAAGGCATTTCAATAAAGGAAACAACATGTGCAAAGGCCCAGAGGTGGGAATGCATGAAACACTGGGTTTATTAAGGCAAAGAACACTTATATTGATTTGTGCTTGCTCTGCAAGCATTTTTGCATTTAATAGCTCTCTTTCATTAAACAGCTTTGTTGTGATCTTTTGAAAAGCATTTCAAAATGTTTTATTTATTTGGAAATCCTTTCACCAAGTATTTAGCATCTACATTTGCAGGCAATGACCCGTGTATGGGTTGACATCAATTGGTATTGTAGTTGTTAGGGTCTCCACTCAGAGTGTGTAAACAGCCTCTAAATGGCTACACACTGAATAAATAAATGAGAATGTACATGGTTGGCACAGGGAAACTGGTGAGCATGTGTAGAGTGGAAGACAAAGGTTTGGAAAGGGTATCTGAGTCAAAGGGCTACCTTCTGGTCCTTGCTTTCCAAGACTTAATCTCATACAAGTAGAGCTTCCTAGAAATCAGGATGTAGGTCCTGATGACATTGGGTACCCAATACCCAAACCTGTGGGGTCTGGAGTGGATCTGCCTTGGGTTGCCATCCTTGCTCTCTTACTTACTGGCTCATAGATTTGGGGCAAATATATTCAGTCCCTTTGTGTTTTAGTTTCCTTCTTTATAGATTGACATCTTCTCCATGAGGTTGCTCTCAGATGGAAGAATAATTAAACAAAGCAATTTCCACAAAGAGAATAGTACCTGGTACACGGTAAGTGCTTGGTGACTGTGAGCTGTTTTGATTCATTCACTCATTAGTTTGTTCAAAGCTAGACACTGCATAAAATGTTGAAGACATGAGGATTAGCCAAATGGACAATTTTCTTTCTGCCATGGGGATGATAAAGTGTAGGAAGAAGACTAAATAAAATAAATGAACAAATCAATACACAGCAATGCACAAGAGAATCCCGGATCACAATACCATGCAGAATAAAGGCAAGAGATGAGAAGTGATATTTGAGCTTAGTCAAGGTGAGAAGAAATTGTCCATCCTGATGGTAAAATAATTCTAGGCAGTGAGAATGGCATGTGCAAAGGTTTGGGAATGAAGCATGTGTTTTCAGAGAACAAAATAATGAGAATACCCTACCATTTTATAGATGAGGAAGCTGATGCTTGGACATTTGGATCAATTGTTCAAAGAAAGCAAGCAACTGAAGAAACCAGGAAGAAATTCTATCTCTTTGTGATTTTATTCCACATTAAACTCTTCATTTACTCACTCCATCCTTCCCCCTGCCTTCTCCCTTGTGTATGTGGTTTGCTATATGTGGTAGATGCATGTAAATGCATGGGTGCATGCCCG